CAGGAATGTGTGAAAAATTATTTGTAGAACTAACATATATGAAGTTCCAGCTGGTTAATTAGGATAGAGCTGGTATCACATTAATGAAAAAGAGTCTGATAGGAGTCTCAACCTAAACTTTTCATTAAAGGCTTAGTAGCTGTGTTTATATCTGTAGAAGAAAAACTAAGTAAACTGGCTGAAAGAATATAGATTGTTAGTAAAGCCAACCAAATCCTAAAATCAGTTGGCCTTGCACACCGTGTCAACAGTGCATCTAATCTAATGCTATATTCTAAAGCAAACTAATTTAACTCGATAATTCAAAAATGCCAATAAACTTTGCTCAGAATGGGTCATTTTTCATTCTTCAGCCTAAGTCAGGAAATAGTCTGAACTTCACCAATGTGTCTCTATATTGTGCAATCATTTGAGAGTAGAACATTGCTGTCCATTCCCCATTGACCTTAGCATTCCATTCTAAATTATTCTAATTCTTTCATTTATTGAAAGTCTTCCTTTATTGTTTTATGGGTACCCATAAATCACAGGCTCAAAGCTCATAGTTATGGCAACATAATATCAAATGGCAACCTAAAGTTGATTTGTAAATAGAACTATAAAATTCTCAAGGGAGTGTTATATCAGGAAAATTAAATACAGACACACAGAAATAAGAGTTCAAAAACTAAGAAAATGGCCAACTTAATGATAGGGACAAGTCTGGAGTTGAATATTATATCCCAGAATTTAATCAAATAGATCGAACTACAACAGAAGATAAAGTACATGAGACTGATTTGATGAAATAGCATTTTATGACTTTTTACTAAAACATTGCTGATTTTCTTCTAGGCTTTGTTGTCTGGTTTTAAGGATTTGTGTCCTGTCTTGAGCTGTCAATAGATTCATATACCCACCATTTGAACAGAATACTAACCTATCTCCTGACTTTTAAGTTTTAAGCAAAGTTCCTTAGCATTTCTTTAAGTTAAAACTGCTTTTCTTGACATTACCAAGTGAACTTGCTATTGAAAGTAGTTAGATTATTTAAGAAATTGTGTGATCAATACAATATGGGGAGGAAAGGAATGGAAGACAACTGTAGACACCAGAGATAGTGTGAGAAGAGGGTGGGAAAGGACAGAGGGTAAGAAATATGTGTATATATATATATATATATATATATATATATATATGTGTGTGTGTGTGTGTGTATATATATATGTGTGTGTGTGTATACATATACATATATATATATATAAATATGAAACTAGAAATGAAAAATTTTTGATGATGGCATGCATGATTAAGCCACTATGCAGTATATTCTGGATGAGAAATCACATTTTGTATGCTGTGACGATGCTTAGGGAATGAATGTAAATTAAGTTAAAAAAAAGTTTCAGAAAGAAAATATTTCAGAAGTAAATTACAGGACACTTGTGACTAGCTTCTAGCTTTGTCCATATTTTTAGTTTAACATATTTTGTGAATCAATAAAATATGGAAAAAAGTTTAGTATGGAAGGGAGAGAGAGGGAAGGAAAAAAGTAAAGGATGCTGAATTGACAAAAAAATGAGAAGCTATTTGCTGATAAGTTATAGAGTAATATCTTTGGCTTGACTGACATGTATAGTATTTGTGCTGGAAAAAGAAATGTTGTACCCTGTAAAGATGTGATTAAATGTAAATAAATAATTAATTTTAAAAAAACAACCTGAAAGCCTAAAGGCTCATAAATGCAAAATGCAGAACTACTTTTTAAATATGAGGAACCAATATAGCTAGCATTTATTAAGTACTTAGTATAGGTTCAACATTGAGTTAGTACTTTATTTGCATTACCTCAGCCTTCTCATCTTTAAAAGCAGTAAAATAACCCTCATAAGATTATGATGAGGATTAAAATATGAAATATTTGAAAAACCTATTATTTTTCTGAACAACTAAATTAATTAATTAAATGAGTCATTAACATTTGAGGTGACTTTCTTTGGAGCTGGGGAAACTCTGAAAGTAGCACAGATCACAAATAAACTCAAAATTGTTTTTAAATTTTACCAATCTGTCTTGTCAAGGAAACACTGTTTAGAATTATTTTCCTTTTCATATTAGGAAAAACAAATTTAACTGATATAAATTAAAAGCAATTATTTGAATGTCTTTTTTCTTTTACAAAAATATATTTAAATACAGTGCTTCTCATAACAAGAACTATTTTTACTGTTTTTGGTAAAGAAATATCAGTAATGAGTAGAACACTTACTCCATTTTAAAATAAACGCAGTTAATGCACACCACAGAATAGGCAGACAATACAAGGGTTTCCCGGAAAAGCTGGCAGTACTGCATCTTTGATAAATCATCTGGTCCCAGTTCCACTGCCGGTAATGCTATGGGTGAGCTTTGCTATCACTATGCTTTTGTGTGAGCATCTTTAGATTACTACAATAATATTGTTTTATGTGTTGACTCAACTCTTCGGGCACTTACGTGGTAGCATTGGGTTGTGATTGAAATATGTGATGTACGTTGACTTTTATTTTCTAACACTCTTCTAGATAATAATAGCAACGTGGGTCCTATTTTTTTTTTTTTTTTTTTTTGGAGAGGTTTTTGCTATAGGGCGCGTGCATTCGCCAGACAGAGACAGAGAGAGAAATCACCCCCCAGGGGGGATGGTCACGCCACAATCCCTTCTCCTCCATTCTACTCCCGGGATCTTGGGCACGCACGCACATGTGCCCGGTGTGAGTTTTAAGTCACCGGGTCCAGGACGCAAACCGCGGTCAACCACGTGGGAGTCCAGCGACATAGCCATTACGCTAACTGCTGGTCCCCTGACTATGTTTTATAATACATGTTACATAAGAGGGAGTGTGCGTAATTATTGAAATTATTATTTACTTTCAATCCACCTACAAAAATATTAACTTATCATGACACACTAACTTATTTAGATAGCTCTTAAAAGATTTCCTCTTTTTTCCAGTAAAAATAATTGAGACAAATACCGTTAGAGAGCAGTTTCCACATTTCTCTTCACAATAAGCGCTCTTAATAGCTTCTTCAACATAAGAGAAAGTTAGGAAAGAAAAAGGCAAACCAAGATGAGATACAAGACGGCCACATCTGGAAAATAAAAAGGGGGCAACAAACACAGGCATTATAATATTTTCTGCATCAGGGCTCAGTGTGATAGGAATTATCGGTTTAATGGTGTACCTAAGACCCTTTCATGTCTTCAATAAACTTCCTTGAATGAGGTCTAATGATCAGCTCCTAAGCAAGCACTGCCTCCCAGCTCAGGTTATAGCAAGAATATAATGAGTCTAACACTACCATTTTAAAATGTTATAGACATATAACTAAGTAATATAAAAAATGTGTAGTATAGTCATCGTAATTTGGTAAAATACAATTTTGTAATTGGCATAAATTCTACCATAAATTCCCTAAACCACTGATCTATAAATTGGGCTCTGAAAATTACATGAGCTATTCATAACTATTGCTAAGGTAGCACAAATTTCACACAATAGATCATAGCATAACACAAAGACCTCCAGGCCTTACCAGTGACCTGATTATCTAAAAATACATCTGATGCAATAAAAATGTCAGCACAGTGAAACAACTGAAATTACAACACTTAACATTCTCAGAAATGGTGGGATTAAAATAGTTTTCATGTCTAGTTTTACCCAGCATACATGGTTTTATGTGAATATCAAAGATGCACACAGATCATGCTTAAGTAATTAAGACACCTTTCAGTTCAGAAATTCAGGTATGTAGCCTTAAAATTATTCATTAGACTAGGGAAAGGCCAGTGTGGTCTCCAAAGTGTAGTAGTTTTTCAACTGCACAGGTTAGAATTGTTTATGACATACAATTTGATCCTTCTTTTTATTTAATCAGAATGCTAATTTATATGGGAAAACTGTAGTCAGTTTTATTTATCTACTGAAATGGTGAACTTCTTTGCATGCCTTACTTTCAAAATAATTTCAAAATATTAAAACCAAAACCCTTAATGGGCTTACTTTGAAACTGTTTGCTAATAAAACAAATGGAAGTATCCTATTTTAAATCAGTTACTATAAAATGTAGAAGGGTAATGGAAAAGTAATATAAGCTAGTAATTAGGGACATGAGATAAATATACCAAGAATTTAGAATCCACAGAATTGGGCGATTAACCCAAGGTGGAAGGTGTGGTGGAAGAAGTCTGTAATACATGTATGCCACACAGTTTTCTGAAGGGCAGGTGACAGTAAAGCCACCACATGTGATGGTTTACGGTGTCCAGCAACATCGGAGATACCGGCTGGGGGCAGGGACGTGGTCGCTGAGGATTACAGGATTGTATATATGCTCTAATGCTTGGCTGCATCTACCCCACAGAGGGTTGCTTTATATAATTCACACAAAGGACTGAAGTAGAAACTGATTTAGGAGATGATAACCAGCTCAGATATGAATAATTCAATTTAAAGTGTTTGTGAATATACCACTGAAGTAGATATATTGGTTTGGAGTTCACTCACTGTGTTTGAACTCTGTATACATATTTGGAATCATCAGAATGTCTGTTACAATTATAGTGAAAGGAGAGATGAGAGGAAGAGTGGGAGAAGAACAAGGAGGAGGAGTATGAGGGGGAGGTGGGGAGGGGAGGAGGAGGTTATGATAGAGATTAAAAGATGGAAGTTTCAAGAAGTAAGATATAGTTTTACTTCTAAATGTTAAATAGAGATTATACCAGATAAGTACTGAAATATTGACATTGTAATTAACAATAAAAAAGACTGTTATGTGTGGTAGAAAAAAATTAACAAGTATATAAAAATATAAACAAATATACATTCACATAAAAATGCATACAAGGGGCTGGCAAGTGGCATGGTGGTTAAAGGCGCTAGACTCCCACATGGCCGACCACGGTTCGAGTCTTGGACCCAGTGGCTTGCTTTCTCCCTTCCTCTCTCTCTCTCTGTCTCTCTCTGATCAAACTGAAAAATAATGATAATAATAATAAATAAAGTTAAATAAAATAATTCTTAGGAAAAAATGCATACAAAACAGGTATCTTTTATTTCATGTCTGTGTGTGTGTGATGTACACACCTGTCGTATATGAGGAAGTCATCTTTATTTCCATTTAAGAGAGTCCAGACATCAGTTTGGTTTTCTTCTTGTTGATAAACAGGAATGTGCTCTGAAACCTTATTTTTAAGATATATGTATTTCAATTGAGAAGAGATTCCTTGATGATTAACAATAGCATAGGAAATATTAGAATAGCCTTCTTTCTCCAGCTTTATTCGCAGGTCTTCTAATCTAAGATATTTGGGGGGAAATACATAAAATTAATCATCTCATTTAATTTTACTAATTTCTTCTCTTCCTCCTCTGTTTTTTCTATGTGTAACCTTTTTCACTATTTTTGACTGACCCATACCTGTATATGCATATGTTTAATGACCCAAGACCTGGATAGCAAGGCTCATGTCCATTCTTTGGCAAAACACTTCCCTGCTTCTTATGCTGAAATAGCTAATCCATTTACAGGTATACAATTTAGAACATTTCCATTGTACAAGTAATATGTACTAAGTTATAAAATATAGGTCTGTTAAAAAATTATACCTCCAGGAAAATCACAGTAAATATTTTGGTATATATTCTAGTCTCTCTTCCTATGCAAATACATACAGTTTTTCCAAAAATGTGACGTCATATATCAATTCCACTTTTTTTTATTTGATGTACTTATGTGTGTGTGTATTTACTAGCTTTCCCCTAAGGTATCCTAAATCACAGGAAGACAGACTTACCTAGAAGCCTGCAGAATGCACAAGTATCAACTGGCTTGAAGAAGAGCAACTACGGTCACTGTACCATAGGAGTCCAGCATTGGATCCTGATCTCTTATGCTCCAGGCTGGGGGCTGCTTACAAAAGGAGCTTCGGCGGTGGCCCTCTGTCCCTCCCCACGGGAGGAGACAGAGGGCCAGGGCAAGCCCCAGGCTTCTCCACATTGCTGGGGTTGTTCTGTAAAAGAAAAAACCTGTTTGTCTCCATGACAGATAACATCTCAGTCATAACTATGGGTTTGTGTAAACTCAGCAAGTATAATTCTACCTCCATGTTTTTCGTCTCATTATGATGATCCTTCCTACACTAAATCTTATAAAAAGAAAGGTATCAATCCGAGGCAGGGAGATTGCCAAACATCTCAACTACCTGGTTCAGCAAAATAATCTAGTAAACATGCTATGGAAGTTTTCCCGATGGAACAGTCAACCATTTCTCTAGAAAAAGACGTATGTTTAGGGAAAAAAAATGTCTAAACAGAGAAAGTTTTGCTGTAGGACATGTGTACTCTCTGGAGAGACAGAAACAGAAAGCAAGAAATCAACCCCCTATCACCCCTCCCAGGGGGGGTGGCCACACCACAATCCATTCTCCTCTCAGGATCCTGGGCATGCACATGCACAGCATGAGTTTTAAGCCCCAGTCTGGGACTCAAATGGTGGTGGACTACATGGGAGTCCAGCAACATAACCATTTCGCCATCTGCTGGTCCCAGTGATACACCAAGTTCTGACTGTGCATCCTCTACCAATCTAAGGAAGGAAAGAATAAGTAAAAGAGTCCACACAGAAATTAAAAGAGCCAACACGGAAAGAGGACTAGGAAGAAGAGTGGCAGTGAGAACAGTAAACCACCACGAATGTGGCTCCTTGTTGGGCCCTCAGCTCTTCAGGTTCCAGTCATTTACACTTATAAATCTCTTAAAATGGCTTCCTTTTCCCCTTCTTATTCTAAAATCTACTTCTATGATAATATTAAAGGATCTGAATCTCTGCAGATAAAGAATTGACAGCTACAACATAAATACCCAACTACAAGTAAAAGGGAGGAACCAAACCAAGGAGAAATATTTCAAATTACTGCCCTCTTCTCACAACATTTACAACTTACTGAAATATGCATTTACTCTATGTGTTGCCTACCACTATTTTTGGGAAGTTCCTATGAATAGTCAGCACATTCTTAGGTTAAAAAGTTAATAAATCCCAAGTAAAAATGTAAAATAAACCCCAAAGTAGGCATATTTCCCTCAGCAAAGAGGTACCAAAGAAACAGGTGACCTAGAGGGCTGAGGAAAGGGGGTTATGGCATGAGACCTTGGTGAGGATCTCTTCCCCACCCTTTTGTTCTCCCATAAGTGTGCATACACTATCATGAATAACACAAACATTAAAAACTAAAAGAGTTTAGTTTTAAACTTTTTTTAAAATGACCAGCCAGTGGCATAGCGGTTAAGGCAGCTGGATCCCACATGTTTGACTGTCCAGTTGAATCCTAACTCGGAGGTTTGAAAAATATGTCAGGCATATGTGCGGGTGTGCCCAAAGTCCCAAAAGAAGAATGGAGGAGAAGGGATTCTGGCATGGCCATTCCCAATAGGGATGCTTTCTCACTTTCTCTCTCTCTCTCTGTGTGTGTGTGTGTGTGTGTCTGTGGTGAGCACACCCTCCATATAGCCAAAAAAAGCTAAAGCGTTGACCAACTACGGTGGCAGGAATACAACACCCTGCAATGCTAAGACCATATGGAAGGTCCTAGATTCATGTCCTAATGTGGGATCCAACTGCCTCAACCACTCTGCCACCAGCTGGTCCCTTTTAAAAAAGTTTAAAACTAGACTTTAATGATAATTTACCTAGAGTCCAGAATTAAAAGAAGAGTAGAACACCTGAAATCAGAACAGTGTAGACACTAATACACTGGTGGACAAACAGAGACCTTTTTTACACCTGATTATCTTTCACATATTTAACACCTCAAAAGTCCTACCTGTATAAGGTATCTTGATAAGAGCCTGACTAAAATAGAGAAAAAATAGCAAGAGAAAGAAGAGGGAGAGAAAAAGAGGCTAAAGTGAATGACTTATTAAGGTCATCTAAATATTGATATTTAGCCTAATATTCAAAAAATTCTAATATTTTAAAAAGACATGTTTAAACTAAATCAAGAAAATGTCTTTATGATCGTATTTACATTAACAATACAACTGTCCCTATCACTTACTGAACGTTTATAAAACTATATGCAGGCAGACATACAAATTTTATATATAACGTCATTAATCCCCACAACTATGTGACCAGCATCTGAAAGTCCTTTCTCACTCAACTGACAGCTCCCATTTTCCATGTAGACTGCAAAATTTCACTTAATCCACAGATCACCTGATTGTGCCACCGGTTTAACTCCTTTAAGATTACCTACCTCTGCACTGGGAGAAACCTGCTCTCCCCCATCCCACCACTTTTTACTTTTCTGAAACTGTTCTTAATATTCCTGGACATTTCTACCGCACTGAAAATAAAAGGAGGACATTCGTCTCTGCTCTTCAAATCCTCAGGGCTATATTTTTTCCTGTTTATCTTCCCGCTGCATTTCAGTGGGAAATACTTAAATCTGAACACATACTATCGCCTATATAACATCTCAACCTTTTGCAGAACGAAGGTGTTGGATTTCTTCAACTTCTCTTGCTCTCAGTAATGCCAAAGACAGGGCAGACAGCAAGGAGAACCGTCAGATGTGCCCACTGGAAACTTTGCCCAGAGTTGGACTATTTCATTCTTTGTGTTTTACTATTTTTATTTCCCTTACCCACCTTTGTTCTAAGTGTACTTTAAGGAAAAGATACCTTTTATCAGACTCACAAACAAAACAGTTCCCCAAACTCTCAAAGGACAGAATACTGGAAAACACAGTTCCTACTTACGCCGCCCCTTCTGACTGGCTGCTTCCTTTCTCTGCTTCCTTAGGCAGCTCCACAAAGCCACAGCGACAAGCTGGTATTTATAGTCCTGTTGTTTACCTCACCCCGCAGCTGGAGTCCAAAGTTCAGTGCTCACTGGAGCAGTGACCTTGCAAACAGAACAGACTCCTGAACTGATTACTATTGTTATTAACTTAAAAGAAAGACGCCAGTGCTGCCATGCAGAAAGACACCCAACATGTTTTGACACTAACTTTCCTTATCCTTTCAGTCACCCCAGAACCTAGGATTTAATGGTACAGTCGGGAGGCGACGGGGGCGGGCAGGAGGCGAGGGGGCTGCCGGTAAAGAGGGCCTCGAATATGAATATGTTCCTTTCCAAACTCTAAAAGGGCAGCACATTCGTTGAGCCAGCAAGTTATGCTGCTGCTTTAAAAAAAGGGGGAAAATTTTTTTCTTATTGTTTTCTGGTGAAGAGGTGCTAGCCTAACCCACACCCTGTGAGCTTTGTTTAAAAAGTACCGGGTTGTATGGGATTATTCTGGTTTTCCACCATGTAGACTGACCATTTGGCTATGCTGAAAACTTTAATCACTGTGAGATTTCACAGGACCTCTCTGCTCTTTTATTTTGTGTTTATCTTGTAAAGCAAGAAGAGACTAGGAATTCTATCTAAAGAAGAAGTTCTCATTTTTATTGTCACAGAAGACCTATGTGCTCCGTGGAATTCCGGAAGATACTAATGTACAATCTTTACGAATATAATTACATGCAAATAAAAGTTAGTGGTATAACATGGATATGGAAATTGCATAGGAATTTTCAAACTGTACAAATAAAATAGAAAATCCCTAGTATTTCAAAAGAGGTCAGTTCTTTCCAGTAACCCTTGCACTCTGGTATGTCAGTGGTGGGTGAGGGAAGAAGAAGTGTTCCGTGAGGGAAGAAGAAGTGTTCGGTGAGGGAAGAAGAAGTGTTCGGTGACGGAAGAAGAAATGTTCGGTGATGTCATCCCGAGTAATGATGGTTTTCAAGTAAGCCTTGCTTTTACTGTGATGCATTTTGGCCAAACAAACCCCTGTTGATTGCTGTGTGCTAGATACTGTTGAACAAAATACAGGAACTACAAAGAGGCTCAGACATGGACCTTCCTGTAAAGAAACTTCATCTCAAGTCAGAAGTTTGCCATTTTTAAGCCAAATTCTGTTTACTTGAACAAAGCAGTAAATATTAGCCTTCTGGAGGCCCTAGTACATTGAAATACTTCATTTTAAATAAATGAAGTATTAATAGTTAAATAGTTAACATATTAATAGTTCATCAGTCAAAATACTTCATTTCTTTCCAAGGGGAAAAGCACACTTAAACTCATTTTTTAAAAGAATTTCTAATAAAACATCTCTGTATAAGGCAGGTAATTCTCCTTTGGGGTTCATCGCCTTGACAGACTTAAGCAGACATCACAGTCTAGCTGCAGAAGGAAAGCAAGTATTTCACTTTCTCTCCTCCTTCTACGTGTGGCTTAGCAGGTGCCTCCTATCCCAAAAGGACTCCCTCCAAGTGTGCGGATGGAAAAGTACCCGGGATTGTGTGCATCCAGACCATGGATGTCTGAAACTTCCAGGTAGAAAAGGGGAGATGGAAAGTCTGTACTGTTTGAAAGGAATCCATTCTTAGTCTCTTCTTTGTGCGGTAACCTGGAACCAATCAGCATTTTCAAGAATAAAATTATCGCAGGGCACACACCTCTAGTCCTAGCTACTCAGGAAACGGAGGCAGGAGGAGTGTAAATTCTAGGTCAGCCTAAGAAATGTAGCTAGATCTTGTCTCTTTAAAAAAAAGGGGGGGGGGCCTAAGGCTGTGGACATTCCCAAATGGTTGACCCCAGTTCAAGTCCCAGTCCTGGTGGCTTGTTTTCTCACTTTCCCCCTCTCTCTGTTTGTGTGTGTATGTGTCCCTGGTCAAATTAGAAATAAATGAATAAATAAATAAAGTTAAATAAATAATTCTTTAAAATGATGTGGGGGAGAACAGCAGATGGCATAATGGTTATGTTGCTGGACTCCCACGTAGTCAACTGTGGTTCGAGTCCTGGACCCAAAGGCTTAAAACTCATGCCAGGTACATGTGTGTGCATGCCCAATATCCCGAGAGGAGAATGAAGGTATTGTGGCATGGCCATTCCCCCGGGGGGTGATTTCTTGCTTTCTGTCTCTCTGTCTCTTGGGCGAGCGCTCTTGCCCTATAGCAAAAATCTTTCTTAAAAAACAAAAATTCAAGCAAACATCAATTAGGTGTTAAATTACACTAAATCAAACAAATGGGTGTTTATACCATACTCAATGCTAAATCTTGGAACTAAAGAGATTACAAAATAAAAACAAACCGAAAAAAAAAAAACTCTTTTGTTCTCAAGGACTTCAAAATCTAATAAAATACACAAACAAGTAAGCAGAAAAACCAGACTGTCAGGTGTGATCATGTCTAAGATGTCTGTAAGTACAAGCTTCTGTTGAAACCTTAAAAATGAGAAAGGCGCATTGAACCCAGCCTGGTGATAGGGACAGCACGATAAGTTGCTAAGCTTTCAAACAAGTTCA